CAATGAATGCCAGAAAAAAGTGGGGTATTTACTGTAAAATTGTTTTACCAACAACTTGAAGGACATATGAGGATAAAGGGGACCGATTTTCCACATAGGCAAATATGGAAGACAAAAGTACCATCACGAATGGCTTTCTTCGCATGGAAAACTTGTAGAGAAAGTATACTAACCATTGATATGTTGATGAGGAGAGGCAGATGCATGGTTAACCGTTGTTTCATGTGCAAAGCTAATGAGGAATCATGTTATCATTTGTCGCTAGGGTCTTACAAATTATGGACAATGATTTACGGACTTTTGGGAATAAATTGGGCAATAGCAAGCTTCGTGAAAGCTGAAATATGGGCATCGACGGGTTTATGCAAAAAGAGGAACAATTTTATGCTCATTCCATTATCGGTCTTATGCGTTGTAAGGAAAAAGAGAAACTCAAGAGCTTTCGAAGGAATAGAAAAAAATTTCAATAGTATTATGGATAGATAGATACATATTTTTGGTTTTCTATTGTTGGGTCATGATATTTCTGATGTTGATGAATTTGGAATGGCGCTAGTTCATTTGATAGAGATGTAAATGCTGTGCAATTGAATGGTACTTCTTTGGTACCGATCTTTTAATACAACTTCTTTTATTTCAAAAACAAAACAACTTGCTAATATGTGTGTATATATATACACACATGCATATGTATTCATCACTAAGTTCTAATCCATCCTTGGAATAATACATAAAATCATAGTAAGATTGAAAAAATATCAATACATTGTTATTATCTACTTAGACTAAAAAGACTAGCAATGAAGAATAAGGGCCTCCAGAATACCTTCTGGAAGAATTGCACCAACTTGTCAGCATATGGAATGATTTCACTGACATGCCCAATAAGAACAGAGATCAAATTCAGAACTTGAACCTGAGATTGAATGAAAGAATGGAAGGGAAGTTAATAAAATATCACAAAATATGTATACAAATGCATCTAAATGGAAAGTAACTTTTTATTAGTAAAAACTTCTTAAATGCTTGCATTTCAAATGGAGACTACAAAGTGAGTTAAAGGACAAAAAGAAGGTCCAAATGCACGAGTAAAACAAATTCCCAAAGAAACACAGAAATGTCACTATCCTCATCTGTATCACAACACAGACCCTCTTTATCTTTTAGCAGAAAAAAAAGTCCCTAAAATTGAAGAATAACATTTTATAATATTTTCCAGCGTGTGTTAAATAAGTTTAATCTTTGGGTTGGTGGGGGAAAAGGGTATGAGGCAATCAGCCCCACTCTATTGAACACCAACAATAAGAAGAAAATTAGCCATAATGGAGAAGTTCTTAGCGAAGAGCGGCTCGTCAATGTGAAGCAAGTTCCAGTAATTACCTTTGAATCAAACTCCTGAACCTCCTCAATTAACTTAAAGCATGAATCCCAACAGATGGGAAGAAGATCAGAAAAGTCTCGTTCAGAGAAGTTTGCATCTTCAATATGTAAACACAAAGACCGACAAGCTGCCAACTAAAACAATAAAAGCATGTTCAACAGTTGACAAAATAAAGTAAAGAGGTAGAAATAAACAAACAGCAGAAAGCAGATAAGGTGAGTAAAAGAAAATGAACTTCTGAATCATACCTTGACAGAAAGGTCCTTATCCTGCAGCAATCTGATCAAGGCACAATATACTGCTCTTTTTGTGTCATCTTTAATCTGAAAGGATGGGAACATAAAAAACCTATCATTGAAGAGTCATTTCTCCTTTTGACCAAAAGATATAGCAAAGAACTTCATTATCAAAAATCCAGAAGACAGTGAAAGCATTACACAATTAAACTGCCACTATATGATGCAAACAAAACTCATCTTCCATGACAGTAAAATTGATGAAGGTCCATCTAGTAATACTTTCTTGATCTTATACAAATATAGCATCAGTATATTTTTAACAGGTTTAATTCTCCTTTGTTTAAAATTTCAATAGATAAAGGCAATCTACGGAAACAACCATGTGCTTTTGCCCATAAAGAGGCCATGCAATGTATTCTGCCCCAAATAAGATGAGCATGATTAACACAATCACTGAAAATTCTGGCATTTTTTCTAACCATAAACCCCAACATTCAGCACTGGTTGACCCTCTCCACAACATTCTATGCTCCTTATTCTTCACACAACTCAGGTAGGCAGAAAAGAAGAACATAACAGCATATCTATAACCCTATAAAAGGTTGAGTTATGTACCCTATTGTGTGAAGACTGCTTATGAATAAACTATACAGACATTTTTTCATGCTTGAATTTGCTTAACACCCAGCAATTATGGTTATAACACCTCTGTGATTGTGCTTGTGTTTTTTATTCTTGTGATTATGGATTTTCAATCCCTATGATTATAGATGGTCAACCTTTGGATTGTGGACTAGAGTCCTCTTTTCTTTCCACCTTTTCTAATATCTATTACATTTGTGACAAAGCTAAGTTTTTTGCTTTCGGATTCAAATTATCCAAAACCCTGAGTCCCATATCCCAAAGCCCTAAACTCCCAAATGAAACAGATCAATCAGATTTTTTAAAAATAAAGTTGCAAAAACAACCAACCAACTGGGCCCCATAAAGAATCATGGCCCTAAAGGTGTAATCAATCTAACATTCCAAACTCTTATTGGTAAGCTGGAAGTAGACAACATATATTCTTCAGCTTAAAGATGAGTATTAAAGAGAAAATAAATTATAGTGTTAAAAATAAAGTAAATTAGGGTAATAAAACGAAAGTAGATCAAGGTGTTAAAAAAAACGTAAATTAGGGCGTTAAAGAGGAAGTAACACAAGGTTACAGAGGAAACAAATCAGGTTAAAGGGTACAAGGGTAAAATGACACCATTTCTAATTAATTGTTTATTTCCTTTTCCATCCTAAAAAACCTGTATATATAGAGTTATAACATTCAATGAATACATATCAATAAAAAAAACCGTTCTTAACAATAACTGTTAACAGGAAAAGAAAAGGTCAAAGAGATATAACTTGCACAAAAATACGCAATTTCTAAAAACATGGATACTTGATAACATTTACAGTACTTTTTTGGAAGTGTCTGTCCAACAAACAAATCAAGCGAAAATTAGAATTTAGTTCATCTTTTCCCATAGAAATTGAACATATCAACACTATCTTCAACAAATTGATCCGCACCAATGACAATCTCATTGCAAATTTTCAATCCATGGGAAGGCACCAAATGCAACCTTTAAGAAACTAACATGTCAACAAGAATCAATGTTGACATTTCCTTTCTTTTAGAAAAATTCTTCCAGCAGAATAGGAGATCTAATTAGTTTTGGTATGAAAGATTCAGTCAAAATCATGAGTTCAAGAGCAAAGAAGAAAGGGTCTGGATCACTTTATAGACATGTAACAATTTTAGATGATACTACTGCTCGAACCATATTGAGGAGAAAGTCATACAAAGAACTATTGCAGGCCACAAATTCTTGACAGAGAAAATATTACAATTATTAATAGAAAAAAATTAGACCACCAACGCCACGTGCTAATAGGAAAGATGATACCTCAGAAACCCACTGTCCCAATATAAGTGCTACTTTCCGATGGATAATGCGCATATTTGGATGGTTATTTGAGAGTTCTAGGGACAAATAACCATTAAACCTGCAATAAAAATTCAGGGAGCGGAAGCAGTCAGCTCCACCATAACCTGTAAAAACATAATCACAGGAAGGGTGCCATTTCATTGCAAAACAGATATTTCAGAGAAAAAGGAAAAAAAAGCCTGAAATCATTTTGTTAAATTTAAAAGATATTAACTGAAGAACGTTTTAGCATTACTTGTTTTAAGTATAATAACTTTTCCGATTAAAGGAAAAAAATAGAGAAAGAGGGTATGCACCTCTCCTCTTCCCCTTCCCCCTCCTTCCCCAACCAAAGAAAAACCAAGTATTGCTTTCACCAAAAAGGATGAGGATGATATATGATAAAAGAAAAAAGATTTAGAATGTTGTATTTAGAATTATTGCCATCAGTGAGTAAATATGAATTTCTGTTTTAGATCATGGAACAGCCAGACATGAAAAATAGCTGTCCCCTTGTCGATCCATATGCAACATTTATTAAGAGTAGCAGATTCTATAATCTATTACGTATACCGATCCTCATCATCATGATTCTATTTAGGGTAAATTACATAAGGGTCCCTAAGATCTTAAGATTTGTAAATAATTACAATCAGATTTATTATTTCTTTACACCTTAATCCCTGCAGAATAAAGAAATTTGTCAATTCAATCCAGCTTTTTACTAGATGTAAACAGTAGCATGTGTAATGTGAAACAAAAAGATCCTAGAATTGACATTTTAATATTTTGAGATATTTATGCAATTACAATGTTTATATATTGTTTTTTTTAAAATAAAAATGTATTATTGAATTTTTATGTAACAATGATGTCTATGTATTATTAAGGGTATCTAGCTTATGTAGGAACCATCAAAATAAGCTTATTATTGAATTTTTATTTTGTCTTATATCACTAGAAGTTTTAATTTCCTACTAATCTGCTATTTACGAATTTTATTAATATTAGGTTATGCAGACACCTTACAAATAAATGGGACCATCATTATTTGACAGACTCCTTAAGAATAAAATATATTGATGCTCTTGTTGAATTGAGTGCCTAATAGCCCTATGATTGTGATTGTTGCTAATCTCTATGATTTTGATTGGATTTATCTGCCTTTTGTTTTCTTTAATTATTTAATCTTTACAGCTATTTAGTATCAGAATTTAAATCCTTGCTTTTTGTATTAAACTTTCACCCTACAAAACATTAAATTTCCCAAATCACAAAAAAACCCTAATCAGTGGAAAATGAAAGAACCTAAAGCCCAAAAAGTCAGAACACATGAAAATTGCATAATAGATCCAACAAGAGTAAAATCTTTTCTAGAAATCTGACCAATGAAGGTTGTCTACACTGCCCCTCAAATCATCATTAGAGGAATCTAATTGGTTCCACCAAACCTCAGCATCCATCGTCACCAGAATTAGCCGCACTCATTAGCCAAACCCCCGAACAGCCACTGTGCTGCTTGATACACTCTTTTAAGATTTTTTTAAAAAAAAATAAAAAGTATGAGAAGTGTTATTCACAACAGTACCAAAAGGGTACCACCCATATATAAAATTTACAAATTAATTAATATATCTATAATATTCCCAAAATCCTCCACTCTATATATATCATGCTTTAACATCAAGAATCCAAAAAAATGAAACCACCTATCCTTAATCTTGTATCATCTCAATCTCAACTCCCTCAAAAGTCCTATTGTTCCTCTCTTTCCATATCACCCACATAATAGTAAGAGGTATTAGCTTTACAAATTTTTTTTTCTTTATATAAACCTTCCCACGCCCAAATCTTCTCCCTCACCAATCCCGCAATCACCCACTCAATGCCTGACAGCTCGTAAATCATCATCCACAGTTCATAAGCCATTGGACACTAAACGAGAATATGATTACAAGATTCCATAGCTTTCTGGCACAAATAACAACCATTAACCATAATATTTCCTCTAGCCATTAACCTATCAATAGAAGACACCCATTTACGATTATATAGAGTACAACTTACACCCAATCCAAAAACCAGCATTACCACATGATGGAGAGTGCATATCTGTAACTTATTTGTTTCCTTACTTGTAGAAGGGTATTTTTTAGAAAAAAAAAGTATAAGTATCACCAAAAATGGGCGGGCTTTCGCTGTTTGATCGTTCTCAATAAAGAGGAGTACAAATGGTTCTTAGATACGCTTGACGAGTTTTGGTGGAGATGGAAACCAGGGACTTGGGCGAAACATTTGGTTCAGAGAAGTTATGAGTTATGGTTGTCGTATGGATGGAATGGTAGAGGCGAGTATCTAGTTTTAACGTTACAGGGAGACAAGCAGGCGAAAAAGATCTTTTTCCCTGGTGGTATGGAAAGGGAGAGGTTGGTGGAGGTTACTGGTTGCAATTTTTGAGCTTTCTGATAGGCCCATTAATGTTTCTAAGTCTATGGCGGGAAATGTGACTGCCAAACCGATGAAACCTCAAATTGTTGTCAGTCAACATAAGCAACCTTGGTGTGTATCTTTCAATCACCCGCATTGCTCGGTACCAATTGAAGTGGTGATGGAAGTTAGGGGAGCAAAATCTTATTGGGCAGCACTCCGAGATAGCGATGGGATTTCGCACCGGGTAGGGCAGAGGAAACCCGCGAGTGTTTCGAATCGGGTTGACCCGAGGAGAAAGTTTCGAGCTAGTAATCGAGCGGCTAATGGGTTCAGTCGTTTTGGCCCGAAGGAGGGGGGGGCTTCTAAGAAAGTGGGTCGGACTGACTTATTGGGGCATTAGTCGGGTGATAAGAAAAGGTTTACTTGGAGAACAAAAGAGAAATGAATTGCGGGGCATGAAATTTTTGGGGGACCAAACCTCAACCCGAGTCCACTGAACGTAAGGGTCCTGGCCCAGGGAGAGCTTTCGGGTGCCCAAGACATAAATAGCTCCCATTGAATGGAGCATGGTATTGATTCTCAGGCTGTTACAGAAAATAACAGAGGAGGAGGACTTAGGGTTTGTTGAATTGATGAACATGAAGGGAGGTATGAGCAAAGGTGATGGCGAGTCTTCCTGGGGTAATGGTGAAAGGGCTGAAGATGATTTATGTTCGGTTTTTTCTACCATGGAGGACTTTGAGGGAGACGGAAAAATGCCAATTGAAGATTCAAAAGACGAGACAAGAGTGACAAATATGGAGATAGTCATGGTGGAAGAGGATGCACAAGCGATTGCAGCTGTTCACAACTTGGAACTAGATGAGCTCATTGAGTTGAGTCTGGAAGGAGTGACTCTGTCAGCAAGTGACGTTAACTACTGCTCTCAATGGGTTGTCAACAATGTACAAAACTGATGGGTGTCTCTCTCTCAGGTATGGAAAATTTTTCTTATATTTTCTTCTCTGAAATCGAGAGGAAGACTTTGAAGAAGAAAATTGGTTCGATTTTGAAAGATAAGAAAAAAGCTGGGGTTGGTACTTCTAGGGAGTTAAAAAGATTGGAGTCGACCATAAATTACGATGGGAGGAAAGGAGATGGTAAGGGAGTCAATGGGGTTAAGCTGATAGGTAAGATCTTATCTTGGAATGTTCGTGGTTTGAATAATAGAGGTAAACGGTTAATCGTTAAGGGTTGTCTAAAAAATTGGAACCCTCGGTTATTTGCCTCCAAGAAACCAAGATGGATGCATTCTCAAAGGAGGTCATTGACAGCATTTGGAAAGTTAAAGAAAAAAACTGGTGTTTTTCTCCTGCAGTGGGGTCGGCTGGTGGGGTACTCATATTATGGAAGGAAGAGGAGGTTAGTTGTGTGAAAATCATCAAAGGGGTGTGCTCCCTGTCATGCTTATTCAAAAACAGAAAGGGGGGCTCTGAGTGGATGTTCACTGGGGCTTATTGCCGGGTAATAGGGAGGAAAGAACATTATTGTGGAATGATTTCAAGGAATTCAGAAATAGTTGGGGGGGGGAAGGTGGGTTATTGGAGGAGATTTTAATATGACTCTGAAGAGGGAAGAAAGAAGTGGCAACAATTTTTGGGTAACGGAAGCTAATGAATTCAAGGTGGTATTGGAGAGGTTTGGGCTGGTTGATTTGCCTTTGTACCAGGGGCAGGTCGAATCAGAAATGTAAATCCAGAATTGACAGATTTCTTGTATCTTCTTGTTTTATGGTTGAGTTGGCAGGAGCTAGCGAAAAAACTCTTCCTACGCCAATCTCTGACCACTATCCCATCTGTTTTGAGGCTGATGGAATTCATTGGGACCCAATCCCTTTTAGGCTTGACAACAAGTGGTTGAAAAAGGGAAATTTCTGTAAGTTGGTGGAAGACATCTGGGAAAATTGTAGTATTCAGGGATGTGCTAGTTTCATATTTGCTCACAAACTGATTGCCTTGAAGAATTCTGTCAAAAGCATCGCCAAGGAGGAGAGGGAGCATAACAAAGTTTTTTTTAATGCTGTTTTGGCTCAAATTAATGATTTGGATTCCAAAGAGGCAGCTGTTGACTTGAATGATGAGGAAAGGAGCAGAAGAGGGTCTTTAAAGCTTCAACTATCTATACATCTGCAGGATGAAGAATTGGTGTGGAGGCAAAAATCCAGGGAGAAATGGCTGGCAGAGGGAGACCATAAAACAAAGTTTTTCCACGCCTTAGCCTCTCACAGAAGGGGAAGCAATTATATTGATGAAATCTGGGTTGATAGCAGGAAAATAAGTGGGAATTCTGAACTGGGAGGCTGCCAGAGACCCTTTTTGTCAGCTGTTTGAGGAGAAGTGTGCTATTAGACCTGTTTTGGATGGTATGCAATTCAATTATATATCTGAGGATAATATGCGGATGCTGGAAGACAAGTTTCCGAGGATGAGTATTTGAAAGTTTGAAATCTTGTAATGGCAGCAAAGCCCCGGCGGGCCCGATGGATTTAATATGA